GAGAGGTGGTGCACCCCTGTGCGATGTGTGACAGAGATCGACGACAATCCCGGCCACGTGCCGAAGATCAACCCGATGGTTGAGGGGGGGGGGCGTTCCATGTGGTCCTTTGCAGCCGGACGAGCTAAGCCGAAGCCCCCCAAAAAGGTTCAATTCAGATGAATTGGTGTAAGGGACAAATTGACAAATCTATGAAGATTTCGAAGGAGAATATTTTTGTGGTTAAAAGGCAATTCCAACATCTTCCTTAGCGTAGATGTTACCTGAAAAAAAAAACAATCCAATTCAACAGGCTTTTCCAACCGCAAGCTGCTGCAATCGCTGCATGGACGCTGCAATCCCGCTGCGTTGGACGAACGCCATCCCAAGCCAAGCATGCTGCGATAAGCTCCTTAGGCTTGAGTGATACGAACATGGCCTCGGTGAGACATGTGAGACATGTGCACAGTACCCATACACTCCATGGGACTGGCATATATGTATCCGATCAGTTGGAGTGGTTGACTAGGGGTCAATGACGGTCAATGTATGTAAATATGCCATACATGGAGTGTTTGGGCATTCTTCTGAAGTGCCTTGGGGTCTCGTGGCACGGCTTGGTCTGTGATAGGTTGAGAAGGTGGAACGGCTTCAACCAGAGTTGTCCACTCGAGCGCCTTGGAGAAGTCGCGATCCCAGTTCCTCCGGTTGAAGGGCTCATGTGCCAGAAAGGACCTTTTGGGGGCCTTTTGAGGACCTTTGGGGTGTAGTTTTGAATTGGGTGGATTTGTTCGTGCCCTCCTTTGGATGAATCCATGTGAATCCTCTTTAGGCCAAGTTGCTGATGTTTTTCCTGGTTCCAATTCCTTAAGCCAATCCAAGGTTTGGACCTAACCCAGATGGGCAGTTCTGCTAAAGTTCTATTGAAGGGGCTCACCTTTGACCCGGTGGGGCAGAGCCCTTGGGCTATACTCGCCAGTGGCACATCCAAGTCGTTCGTTTTGTTCCTCCATTGAATGGCATGGGCGGAGACACATGCGGTTTGACGGTCATGGACAGTCATGGTTTCCAGGGAGGATCCAAATACATCCAAATAGCAAATGGTTTGAATGTGTTTGAATCAACGACCTCAGCGCATGTTTTACCTGGAAGTAGTTGGGGTGTTTCACCAAGATTAAGTTCTTGGTTGCCCACTCTGATGAATTCTGCATGCATGGGCTTTTTACTAACCAATCTATCCGAATGTCAAGTGGGTGGGGGGTCCTCCAAAGCCCACCACTTCCGAATGGGACTTCCATACCCGCTCCAAGAGGAGTGGGGAAGCAAACTGGAGAAAATGGAAGTGAACCGATCTGAAATGGATAGAAGATCCATTCATATCCTAATGAATGAACTGGTCATGCAACCCTTGATATACAAGCTTCTATCATCTTCTATAGGTTCCAAAAAGAAAAGAAGTGAGTGGCTGCTCCAGCTGCGCCATCTGTGGGTTCTTCTCCCAAGGAGAAGCTGACGACTGCGCCTCCGGAGCCAACCACGTCTTCGTCGACCCTCTCAGCCTGCGAGCAGATTTCACAGAAGCTTCTTAGGACGAAAAAGACGGGCCACGACACAACCACGTTGGTCAAGAGGCTGCCGATGTGGGAGGGTAAGTCAGATCTAGATTTGCACCATTGAAGCCTAGATGGATCTAGATCTTAAGACCAATGGATCTAGATCTTAAGACCGATGGATCTAGATCTTAAGACCATTTCTCTCACAATACCCAGCTGTTTTTCTTCCGTTAAAGGTCATGTCAGTCATTTGCCACAAAGTGGTCCTTGATGCGCTACCTGGAGGCGCTTTGTGTTGGTTTCTCGACATCCTGACGTCCGAGGCTATCCTCCCTGCACTTCAAGAGCCTGGGGAAGAGTCTGTGACCAGGCAGAAGCGCAAGCATGCGCAGCGCAGCACAGGGGCCTGCACAGCGGCCGGAGATGTAAAAACCAGGAATCAACTGCAAGACACATGATGAGGGTCACCAAAGAGACTTGCTTAGGGTGGTTATGACTCAGCAGGGTGGTTCTGCTTACGTAGGTGGTTGCTTAGGGTGGTTATGCTTTGTGGGGTCATTGGGATGCTCTCTGCAGGGCTGTGTTCCTACAACACTTCGATTGAGCCCCCAAAAATACCGCCCAAAATGAGGTGCCTCAAGAGCAGGTTAAAAGGCCTTGGTTCTGTTTCTTTTGACCTTTGTCTTCCAGAGGTGTGGCAATAATGAGCTTCCGTGAGTGTCCCGTCCTTCTGTCGAAAAGGGTGTCCAGTCGATTTGGAGGAGGGCTTCACCTCCAGTCAAGCTGCTCCCAATCCGATTGCACTGTTCCCTCCTGCCAGACTCCCATGTTCGGTCGCTGCGGATGCAGAAGAAGCTGCTGCGGAGGTGCTTTCATAGACGGTATCAAATTGTTCAACCCATATTTGGGAATGAGAACTCCCAGTTCACGAAGATGTTTGTTTCAGGGTACAGTAGTTTGTTGATGTTTGTTGCTGTTGTTGTTGTTGTTGTGGTGCTTTAACGGTCCACACCCTAGCTCATCCCCTCGACTACAGGAGTGGGGGTGGTGGCCCGCCTGCCCGCCTAGTGCTACACCCGGAGACTAAACCCGGGTCCATGAGGGATGCATCATAGCCACGGTCCAACCATATACATTGCATCCACCCTCTTCAGGGTACAGCAGAACCACCATCCAGGGTTGGTTGACTGCATCCACCATCATCCACCCGGTCGTCTCGATCGGGCAGCCCTAAACCCTAAACCAGCCCAGGTCTTTACACCAATCCAAAAGCTGGACCTCGGCTTCGCCGCAGCTCCCGTCCACGTCCAAGCCCAGAGGTGTGGCCCGGGGTGGGGCGGAGCCTCCGAGAACGGTGAAATCCTTACAACAGCACTTAGAATGTTTTAGAATGTGATTTGTTTCGTTCTCGTCTTGATTCCCTCTAGGTTCAAAAGGTTGATGAATTTCTATGAAGTGCCCTCAAAATCTGCGATGATGACCATTGTATAAGAGCGTTGCTCCCTCATATGTTGGCATGCCTTCTTCAGCCTTTTCAAACGATCATTAGGGGACGAAGCCATGGACTCACAAGGTTCAAAAGTAAGACAAAGCCGATCCTCGGGGACGAAGCAAGTATGACAAAGCAACAGCCGCAACAGACTCACAAGGTTGCCGTACTTGACTTCTTGGTGCAGTGGGTCCAATGGGTCAAAGCATTAACTCCGCCCAAACGAGAAATTCATAAGGGATATCGTTGCCAGACACCAGAAAAGGAGAGGACTAGCTGACTTACTGAATGAGCACGCTATGAAAACCAAAGAAGTGCTGCTGCAGCTTGATTTGTATTGATGCTTTCACGCGTTTACCTCTTTGAATCCTTTTTGAAGTCTCTGTTTACTTTTTCCAACAGGCCTTCATAGGTAAACATGTGTAACTTTCAAACATATACCTACTGAACCTTGTACCCACAAATTTGTGGGTTGAGAAATCAAAACCCATCTTTTTCCATGATGAGATGGAAATACCAGGTATTTTGAAAAAAAAAAACTATGTTTTTGTCAAGGACCAGATTCCAATGACTTTATAACGTTTCAAGATGGCATTGACTTGGGAACCATCCATTGGAGTGTGGCTTGATAGCCTGGATGTTGGCCTGGTTCAGGGCTCAAAGAAGTCCATGATGTGAAGTGGACGGCATTCGAACCCCGATGAACCGGGCAACAAAAAGATAACTTGAATGCATGTTTCAAAATCCTCCCAAAGTGAGATGTTGCCCTTTAGGATGTGCATGGATGGGCAAAGAAAGTGCTCCTATGGGGTCATGGTTCACAAGTGTTTGTACCCAACCACCTGTTGGATCCTGTCCGCGCCTGTCCGTGCATGTCACCACGGGAACCTGATCTACCTGATCCAGACACTCTGAGCCCGGGCCCTCATTTTGTCCGCTGGGCTGGCGCGTATGAAGTTGGCTGCTTTGCCTGGGCTCAATGAATCAGTTTTTCTCTATGGTTCATGGGGTTCTTTGTTACAAACCTTGGTTGAATCCATGTCTCACCTTAGGAATCATGGATCATGTTCTTGTGTGGGAGCGGCATGGGCTTGAACACAATCTATTTCTAGAAGCCATTCTGGTCAAAGTCTCCCTGCACCCTCTTGTGAAGTGTTTTGTGGGCGGCAATGGATTGTTGTGGGCTCTGTCGTGAATGGGAGGAAGATCCCCAAGTCCGTGATCGCGTACGTGTAACAAATGCACTCTTGGAGAAACAGAGTGGAGAGACCTTTTGTGTCCCTTCCCGGGTGAATGCGGTTGCCAACAGTGCTGTTCTTCGTCCGGTCTTGGTCCGCCTAGCTGACACTGAGAAGAATGCCCTTCCACATTTGGAAGGCCTGCAAATGGAACTGCGGGCCTTGTTTGAGAAGTGTGGCATGAATCCCGGAGATGATCTTGTCTACAAAAGCAGTGTTGAATTGAAGCGCTTGGCTGGTTTTGTGAAGCGGCGCTGCAAGAGACGTGAAGTCACGAAGGAAAAGGGTTAGAGTCTGACAATGTCACTACTAAATTGGGGTGCGTGTTCACAATGGTGCCACATCATCAGTGGTTTCAATACCAAAACATGAAAATAATTAATGGTTTTAACACAGCACGGCACTCAAAGTTGACAGGGGTTCTGCTGGTCCCTTTTGATTTGATTCAAGTCTTGCAGCATAGTTTGGTTTTCCATGACTTGCCCCTGCCAGGACAAGTCCTTTCATGTGCTGCTTTTGATCTTGGATCCCACTATCCAGGACTGGTACATATTAAACATGTGTGGCATGGGGGCAAAACTCTTCACTAAAGGTCCAATGATGACAAATTCTTGGGTTCCATTGGGTTGTGAAAAGTTCCAAGGTCAACCTGATTGTTGGAGGGTTCCTGTATAGGAGGCCATTGACCTGTACATGAAGTCATGCAAGCGCTCTCGATCTGCAAGCTCTGGTGAGTTGGAGGTAGATGAAGAGTTTGAAGATGAGGATGATCAGTCCAAGAATGAGTTTGACGATTTCAAAAAATGGTTGGACAGTGCGGTTGAATCTCCTATGCCCAGTGATGCCCCTCTGACTGCTGTGGATGAGAAGTGTGGCAAATGTGAGCATTCTCCATGCCAGTGTTTCTTGATTGGAATTAAAAACAACGGTAAGTCAGAGGCATATACTTGAAGGTCTGTTGTAGTGATTGGAACGAAACACATTTTGACTGGTCTGCTTTGCCAGCTGCCAAGGTGCTTCGATCCAACAGCGCGTGCAGGAGCTCCGAGCTCACATTGCCAAGCAGTTTGCGGAGAAGAGGGCTGAAGCGCTTGCAAGTGCAAAGATGCTTTCCTTGATTTGGCTGGGGCCAACGATTGAAAAACATGGACACATAAATAGGGATCTTCATTTTGGAGCCCTGGGCTGAAAACGCTACTCCATGTTCTAATCTAATCTGCCAAAAAGAAAACCTCTTTGGTTCTGAGGAGTCTACCACCTCCTCTGCCGAAAGAAGAAGCTGAACCCCCTGCAGCTTCAGCCAAAGGCTGGCCTGACAAAAAACAATCCCTAAAGGGATTTGGATGAAACCAAGTTCTCATCCTCATGCCAGCCAAACTCTACCATGTTTTTGGTACAACCGTCACTGATCACCTTACAATGTTGATCCTTGACACCAAATTGATAGCAGGGCTTAGCCAGAGTGATTTAGTTAAATGTCATAAGGAACAAGATTGAGAACATGTCTTTGTAGAGAGGATTTGTTTGTCCCTGGCTAGGCCCTGCACAAGAAGCTCGTAAATCAGGTGTACGTGACACAGATGAGACCCAGCCCTTGGAGGATGAGAATGCCACTCCTGAGATTGCTGCCTTTGACCTGACTATGCCTGTGGATAATGAAACCCAGCCTTACAGCGCGGAGCAAGGGGGACTACCAAAGGTTGGGTGTTAGTGGTAATGTTGTCAATCTTTTTGCTGGCCATGGAAATTAAAATACAGTGGAATGGCTTTAATGTATTATCATTTATCAGTTTTTGTACATTTCACATCTCCACTGAATGCAAAATTTCTCAGACTGGGCCAGGGCCATGGCCCTAATATCATGCATTGACAAATTCAAAATCAAAAAACTGCTCATTGGCATCTGCCTGCAGGTGCTGACTCGCCGGGACCAACTCAAGCTCAAGGAAGAGAAAGTGAAGGCAAAGAAAGAGGAACAGGAGGCCAAGGAGGCTGCAAAGCTTGAGAAAAAGGAGGCGCAGCAAGCAAAAAAGGCTGCCAAGAAGGCAGAACAAGAGGCCAAGAAGCAGGCCAAAGCTGAAGCGAAGGCAAAGGCAAAGGCCAAGGGCAAAAAGGCCTCTGCTGATGCTGAAGCTAAGAGTGGTGAGGTGGAAGTGGAGGAGGAGCAGAACGACGATCCGGCCCCAAAGCGGAGGAGGCTGAAGCAATGTTCAGCTGATGGTGAAGGTGGTGAAGGTCAGGCTAAGGCTGAGGCTTCGAAGGGTGAGGAAGACGGGCCGAAACCAAAGGCAAAGGCAAAGGCAAAGCAGGCGGCGCAAGCGAAGCCGAAGCCGAAGCCGAAAGCCAAGGGAAAGGCAAAGGCAACTCCCAAAAGAAAAAGTCGAGCCAGGAAGCAACAGGGCAGCAAGAGTGACGAGGAGATTGCAAAGGAGAATGAAGGGGAGATGGAGGAGGAGTTGGAAGAACCTGAGGATGACAATGTCAGGAGGAAACTTTTTCATGGTGCCGCAGATGGTGATGAAAGTCCTCACCTGCGGATTGATCCAAAGTCCAAGTCTGGCAATGTCAAGCCGCTTCAGCAACTCTTTGAGGAGGATGTCCCTGCCCGACTGAATGCATCGAGGCCACGGAAGGAGCCTGCTGATGTGGCGGCTGAGGAGGAGGGGGAGCCAAGAGAAGAAAGAAGCAGGCACTTTCGCCCTTTGCAAAGAAGGAGCAGGGCCGCCGCAAGAAAAAGGAGAAGGAATGCATGGAAGCGACTGTTGAGCTAGATCCTTTGGTCCAAGGGGTCTTTCTCCAGCACATGAAGTTCTGCCGGAACTTGTCGTTCGAGGCATTGAAGGACTACCTCTACGAGAAGCTCCCAAAGAAGCATGGCAACTTCCAGCTCAATCCCTACATGAACAGGCCAGCATGTGGCGTCTTCACCAAGCTCCCAGAGTGGAAGGCAAAGAAGGAGATTGTCTACTTTGGGAAGTGTGGCACTGCCCTGAACAAGAATGCAGCGTGTGTGGTGTCCTATGTCTCTGGTGCTCTGATGGTTCCCTGGCTCAATGGGTTTGCAATGCAAAGCACTGCTGCAACATCATAGCATAGCTCCAATGACTGTCCAACTCAAAGCTGGCACATTTTGAGTGTATCAGGTCTGGGTAATATCACTTCCCCTGCCAGTTCTTATTTTTTCCATGGCCCAGCACATATGACAACGATACCGGTACCCATTGAACTTAGGCTGCGTGGATGGCAAACCTGCCCATTGAGGATGTTCAGGCTTGGGAAGATCCTATGGGCAAGGTCTCTCAAAAGGCCATGTTTTTCCGATACAATGGGAATGTGGCAGCTTCCCAATTCAAATGAATACTCTGCTGGAGGATGCTGTCTCATTCTGTAGGGTCTCTTGGGTTCACCATTCATTGTTCAATGGTAAAACGTTGTAAATCTGACTAGGCATGTGCCTGGTTTTCACAACTGCGTAAATAGTGAATTGAACTATTTAGGTCAGCAGGTCAATGGAAACTGCAAACCAGTATCTGCATACGCTCCAGCTAGAGGATTCTTAGATCTTGAAACTAGTGTCATGGTTTGGCTTAGCTTTTGGACATGGGATGTACAGGGAGGTACTGCGGGCATGGCGGAGGGTTCATGCATTTTGGAAAAGGAACAGAGTGACAACAAAAAATCTCTTGTCTTTGCTCTGTCAAGTCCATCAGCTAACTCCGTTGATTTGTTTCCATGGAACTGGTGCCTTGGCCAAGCCTTCCTGTATGATTGTGTGGCCCATACCACTATACACAAATTAGAGTGGGGGCCTGTCCAGAGATGCCAACCTAAGGTTGTGGGGAAAACCTCACGAATCTTGCGACCTGACCGCGGGGAAAAGGAACCAGCTTCCAATCTGGGGTTGTTTTGATGATGGAGACCTGAAAGTCATGAACAACAAATATAATCTTGGAACTGTTGATGGATGGAAAGGGTTTGAATTGTTGGGGTAGCCATGAGTAGCCTATCAAATGATCAATAGTGGACATATCACCAGGGGTAGTGAGTTGTCCCCCTTCACTTGCTTTGTGATGGCCCTTTCTGTTGCCCATGCCTGTCTCTACAAGCCCCTTCCCTTCCAGCCAATCCAAATCCGGCCCAGCTGCACTGGCTGAGGCTTAACCTTGGCATGGATGCATGCCTGGCCTCAGGGGCAACAAGTGGGCTGTGAAGAAGGGATGGCTGAAAGAAGCGTCAGGTCTGCTGGCCATGTTTGGGGAACCAGAAACTCGCATTTATCTGGCGCCCAAACGTGGGTGCCAGATGGACTTGAAGATATATGTGCATGCATGAATATATAATATATAGCTCAACCATATCCACTAAAGACTTGTAGCTCCTGATTGTTGCAATGACCTGACGGATTTGTATTTATAAATCTTGAGATTCCAAACATTCGAGAATTGTAGTGGGAGACGTGTCAGATCTCACTTCAGCTGTGGTGCATTGAAGTGCTTGGTGTTGCAGCTTGGTCGTTGGTGTGGACGTGACTCCTCAAGCAAAGAATGGCTCATATGGCATGGCAATCTGTCAACTTGAGCATCATGGATCCCTCACCATGGAACCAGTCATGGAACCATAGTGTGTTCAATTTGGGGTTGGGGACTTTGCTCTGTATTATCTTGGGGTGGGCTGTGAAGATGGCATGGTCTCCGGAGTTTGTGAACAAGTTGGCATGGCGACTCCGGGCCCTGGGTGCCCCCAAGGTGCTTTGATGTCTTGTGTATACCACAATGCCAACAAGTTGAAGGATTGTGCTGCATGTAAACCTTTAGTAATCCACTAGACCAGAAACATGTTCTGGTCTTGATGATGCAGGTGCTTCTTTTTGCAGTTTTACTTCTGACTTGGACCGACCTCCCTTCAACCAGTTGGCAGGACCCAAATTTGGAGTACATGCTAACTAAAATTTGACAAACAGCTCCAGTGCATTACATGGATGCATAAAAGGTTGGGCTATGGGTTGCAACCCTCAAAACCACTGAAGTTTGGACGCTGTTGCAGGACCAAAGCCCCTTCTCGTTTGTGGAAGTCTTTGCGGGAAAGGCTGAAGCAACACGGATGTTTCGTTGTGCTGACTACCGATCTGCCAAACTAGACATCCTCTATATGGAATCTTCACCGGGACGCCAAAACCCTATGGACCTTTGTTCAGCGGCAGGTTTTGCGAACCTAGGCCAAATGGAGCCACTAAAACTTAGTCTCAATGCTTGCTGCATGAGCATCCTTTAGGACCTGTTTTCATGCTCTTGGCAAGGACTGCGCGTGCTGTCATTATGAGAGGAGATTATGAAGAAGGGTGGATGGCCTTCTTTGGACTCAAATGTTCAACATGGACATCGGTCAATGCTGGGACATCCAGTAGGTCAGCCTGTAGCTCTGTTGGGAACACTGAATTTGCTTCCGTAAGGGATGGCAACTGCCTTGGAAGTCGGAACTTAGCAAGCATTCATTTTGTTATCTAATTTGTTTACCTACTATTTTGCAGAACCAGGTTGGTAATCAGCTTCTGTCACTGTGTAGTCTCTTGGCTAGCGAATTCTCCCTGGGCATGAGTCAGGATGATTCTATTGATGATGGTGGCAGTGTGCCTGAATGCCTGCATTGTGTTGGAGCAACCCTATTCATCCTTCTTTGAGTTCTACCCCAGATTCAGGGAGCTGGTATGCATGCTACAAAGTATTTCGGGCCAAACTGCGGTTCTTTGGCATCCAAAGGTTCTGCCGAGTTTCGATTGTTCGAGGGACCTGAACGACCATTCATAGGCAACCTCAACTGGCCATATGCAAGGGAGCCTTTGTAGTTAGAGTGGTTCCTGTGTGTGTGACCACAGTCAACTTAAGGAAACATACATTGTCCATTGAACTTGCTGGTATGGTCAGTTTGAAGACCATACAAAGAGACAATCAGGTTCATCTGGATGCCATTTTAGTGAACATTTGTCTTGGTGGTGGCAGGGAGGGTTCTTCTAGCCGCGGTGCAAGGAATGTTCTTTCCAAACACTCTGGTTGATTGTTTTGGTGGGCATGGCCATGTTGTGGAAGAGGGTCATGGTTTCCTGATGCCAAAAAACCACTGTTGAGGAAATGTTTTGCTTTTGGGAGCCAAGTTGGTGACTTATCCTGGCGCTGCCTACCCCAGGTACACAAGACCTCGTGGTACATGCTGCACTATGGTGGCAAGACCCCGAAGAGGCACTATGCCTTTTCAAACAGCAGGCATGTGGCAAAGCTGAACGCTGGAAAGCTGACGGGGTGGGCCAAGCGGAAACGGGCTCTTGAGTCTTTGGGGCAAGACACCAAGCTGGTTGACAAGTACGTGGATTCCCAAGGGAAAGCTAGGTGGAAAGGCAACAAGGAACTTCGTGGAAGTGAGTTCTTGGGCTTAATTGTGTAAAAGCGTTGCTCTGACTTGTGCATGGGTGGACAGCCCAACTTAGTTGTTGCTATTGACCCCCCATTTGGATTGCACAGTGTGGTTCAACACTGCGGATGGCCCTTCAGCTTCAAAAAGTCCCCAGATTCTGTCTATATATGTTCAATTGTGGTGGGCTTTTAATCTTCTATCCTTGTGGGTGTCTGCACTTGGCCAAAGAGAATCCAATTTGCCCAAGCGGCCCAGGAACTATCCGGCAAAGTTTGGCTGCAAATTGGTAGAGCTGTTTGACCTCATGAAAGCGGAGAAGAGTGGACTGCCCGAGCTTCCATCTGATCTCCCTTCAACTGAGGAAATCTTTGAAAGCATGACGTTTGAAGATAATTGGTCTGAGTCCTGGGTAGTGGAGGTTTGCCATTATTTACGAGGGGGTAAACATTTGCGGATTCCCCCAAGCTTTGTAAAGCTACTGCCAAAAAGGCTGTAAGCTTTTATGGCACGGTGCATATAGTTGTACTGTTGTTGTTCGGGCCAGAAAATCACAACATGACTCTTAAGAAGAACAATATGGTTTCATATCGTTCGGAACATCAATTTAGAGTTTTCTACCCATAATTCAGCGTAATCGTAATCCAACGTAATTCATCGTAATTACACCCGTAATCAGAAGTAAATTTACCTATCTTTTTAGTCAAAAAAACATAGGTTTTGGGGTCGTAACTCGTAATGTCGCGTAATCCACCGTAACAAAGCCGTAATCAAAATGTAAAATACCCATAATTTACTAGCGTAATTTACCCATAATTTGGAGGCGCGTAATTTTACCGTAATTTACCCATAATTTGGCGTAATATACCCATAAATTTTTATGGGTATATTTGCTAAAAACCTAGGTTTTTTGATGTGTTTTTCATAACTTGTATTATAAGATTTTATGAGGTTTTATATGATTTGTTCAACATCTAACATGGTTTTGTGTGATTGTGACTGGGGCCTGAGCTTTTGACAACAGTCTCTAATGAAACAGCAAAAGTTGATTGCAGAAATTCATCGGGTTTGCTGCATTGTGGTGCATCCCAATTGGCACTCTTGAACAGTGGAACCGTGCTTTGAGAAAACAGTGGTGTCACTGCTGAAATCCTGCACTGAAAGCATGGTTGAATCTCTGGCAACACCGGGCTAACATTGGTTCACATGAGCTTGATTGTCGAGTGATTTTAGCTTTTTGGACAAGATTTCCAAAACAGGTGTTAGGCGGAACTGCTCCACATGAGCTTTGGTCGTCCTGCGTCGTTGCACACCATGGTGTCCCGGACCAATTCCACCAGTGAACTTGGTCGTGGCCTATCACATATCCTTTTGGATGCAAAGCTTGATCAGTTGCCGACTGATTTGGCATCCCTTGAGGATGGGTCTGGGAATGGGAATGGCGCACTGTTTGCAAAACAAAGAATGGCTGGACCTATCAGTGCTAAATCCAAAGTCTCCCATGCGCCCTCCAGGAGCTTGACAAGTCATTGGCAGACATGGAGGCATTGGAATCATCCGTGGGGGGCTCATAGCTGGATGTGGTTCCACTTGATTGTTGGAAGACAATAAATATATAGTGTTGTTCAGTTCAGGGGTGCCCAACTCTTTGTTGAGAATGGGCTGGAGTCCTACAGGTGTTGAATTGATCAATGGCTTGGGTGAACACTGTAGTGATTGTGGATAGATGCTCTAGGGGTTCAGAGGGGCACTCCATCCCAAAGCAGCGCTTCTTCCGTCTTCAAGCCAAGCTGCATGAGGCTGCGGCTCTGAAGCAGCTGGAGATGCAATTGCAGGTTGCCAGACTGCATCTCTATCCTTGATTGTGACAACCAAACATCACTGACCACACCAGGTAATGGGAGTTGAGTGCCATGGAATGAAATCACTCTCACTACCTTGGATGTTGGGTGGATAGGGGTAGTAGAATGGGTCAGTCACTCTGCCTGGCTTGCTTGCTCAGGCTTCTCCTCAGCAGAGTGGGTTGCCTATGGAGGTGGATGAGACACAGCCCGCAACGGAATCCCAGGTCAGAGTGTCGTTGGGCAGTGGAGATAGGGAGGGTGCCACTTCTGAAAGCCCAGCATCCCCATCATCGACTTTACCATCTTCTGCGTCGCAAGCTGCGGTCCTTGGGCAACATGGTACAGCTTCACCCTAGTGTGGTTCCTTTTTTCACAACACAAGTATGGGAGTCAGAATGCGCGTGGAACATTGCAAGCCTGTCAAAACATTTTCCATGAAACATAAGAGGTTGCACTGTTGGCCCAGTACTGCGCTATATGGTCTTGCCTTGCTTGTAAGGTTCAACTTCGTATCAAGGCGCTGTGTGAAAGGGGTGACCTGGATCCATCTACCGCTGCCCTGATTCTTGGGCAGGATGCTCCTGATGTTGCGCAGGATGAAAACGAAAAGAAACGCAAGAAGGCGGAGGCTGTTGAACCCCCAGCCACAGGGGATGCATCGCACCCTGATGGAGAACCTGGTGAATCCCTAGATGTTTTCCTGGAACGTGCAAAAAAGATCAAACTGGCTTCTTGACTGATTTGGTTTGTTTTTACCATTTATCATTAATTGGTATATGAGTCATCTGAGGTTTCCCATTTAGAGGTCCTTGGGGTATGGCATGTGTTCCTTCAAACTTCTTCCCACATGAACTCTGAGGCAGATGATGCACTCAAGGCCAAGTTGAGACGGCTATGTCAGGAAAACAAGCATGGCAAGCTGCAGGTTCCTTCTTGGTTGCATGAGATGTGGAAGACTGGCGACAAAATGCAGCTTGCACGTCAGTTTGAAGCATGCAACTTTGACAAGGAGACCCTCTAATAGGTTCCATAGCTGAGCGTCGGAAAACCATCAGTGCAGAACTTGTTCCAATCTCCAATCCAGTGTATGTTGCCTGGCAGGAACGGTTCATCAAGTTTAAGCAGACAACTTACATGAAGAGTAAAAAGGACCTTGCTGATGTGTCCGTTGGATGGTACAGTAAGGAGGATATGGTCAAGGTGCTGAAATGGAATGCGATTCTTTTCTGCAACATGCGCATGTGAGTGAGTATTGCAACAGTCTTGAATTCACTTTTTTGGAACGTGTGACTACTTCTTGGGGAAACATGTTTTTTGTAAGCTCTGAGGAAAAAGGTGGCCGGTGCCATCAAGTGCTGCGAGCAAGATAAAAACAATTTGGTGAGGCTGGGGTACTGAAGTTGAACCACTGTAATTATATATTTGAAGTAAACTTGATTTACTGGTTGTCCAGTAGCAGTGTACAAACACGCTGTGGTATATATGTTGGAAGTGCTTCGACATAGTATATACATGTATGTCCCAAAAATAGATTCAGATTGGTGTTTCATTTCCTAGCCCTTCCAGCAGGCATTGCAAATATGGGGGCGAAGATGAGTACTACATTGAGGTGCGTGAGACAGGAAACCGCCAGCAGGAGAGTACGCTTATGGAGCAAATTGTTGAAACAACCCAGGACCGACAATGCTTAACTGTCACCAAGTGTCATAGGATCTCTTCAGCTTGAACTGCTAGATGCCAGGGTTGCCCAGCAATGTCCAACATTGCCATGCCTGGCAGGAAGATGGTGGGCCATCTCTGGGGCCTGTTGATGCTAAGGGGGCTGAACTGATGCAAACGCGTGCTAGGGCGATGTCTGGTGCTGCAGTTGCTGCCACCAGTGAGGTGGGATAATATTATGCACACACGGTGTCCATCTTACAGGTCTTGCAAACTGCCCTTTCCAATGTGGTGTGGGTGGGTCAATGACATGGATCTTTAAACAACCCATTTGGATTGAGATGAAACATTGGATTTCTCACGCGTGAGGCTGCTCGGGCAAAGGAAGTCTTCGCCAAACATGTTGAATCAGTGCTGGCAAAGGCTGCCAAGATCAGGTCATTGTTGAGTGATCTCCAGAAAAACTACAATGAAGACATGACTGCAAGAAAGTTTCTAGACAGCAAGCCTGCAGCTTCCTTCATAAATATGTTTTGAACATGTCTTGCATTCACCGGTTGATCTGCATTGGCCTTGACCGAATCCAATGCCCAGGGCTGTGGTGCAGCTCAATGCGGATCTGAACGTCCTGGATGGTGAGTACAACAAGCTATCGGAGCATGTGGCACAGGGTGAAAGGGATGACCACAACCAAGCGTAGCTCAACAGCACATGTTTTCAATTGGATGACACTTAAGAAATTGCTGATTGTTTACAAACTGTTTTGTTCTGTTGGCAGACTCGACCGTGCGCTGTTATGTTTGTAGCTGGAGTCAAGCTGCTGAGAAAATGATGAAGGCTTCCACATTTGTGTGCCTAGGATGCACACTTAGTCATCTCAGTCAACCTTGCCCCAACCCAACAATTTTGAGCACATGGCCAGGTGCACGAAAGTTGCCCAGAATGAAGCCAAGATTCGGCCTGGCCCTCAAAATTATTTTTGGTCAGCTTTGATCTCCAGCAGGGCATGGATTGACACTGGATGTCCTTGGCGAGACCCCCATCCATGTCCCACAAGTTGGACTATAGTCAGTCAACTGTGTCTGGAAATCGTCACACTGCCCTAGCCCAGGTCTGCCAAGCGCCATTTTCAGAAGGTCAAGAAGGAGGACAATGCTGAAGTGGAACGCAAGTGAGCTCTTCTTATGGTTTGGGGTTGGTATTGACAGCCCTCTTGAGAGATATCTTGAGCTAGAGGGATTGTTCATACGGAAGTTTGCCGGGAGGGGTTGCGTTACCTGGATGCAATCCAAATTCATGGACCATGTGCCTTTGCTCTGGTGCTGCAAGATCTCTATAATGCATTGAAAAAAAGGACCCCCAAAAGTGGTTGAATAGCAACAGGTCATACATGCAGTTGGTACATGCTGATACATCCATGCACTCAAGAGCACCGTTGATGGCATAGGAGTTTCTTAGCTGCCAATCAGGCTTCAATTTGGAGCCATGTGTGATGGTGAAAAAACACTATGACATGTTTGCGCAATGTCAGCCATTGGATCTGTTCCATGCTCCCCTCACAACCATTTCTGGGTCAATCTGGCTGCCAGGTCTCGTTGGGAAGTCAGCCAAGGGGCCATGAGCTCAGACTTTGGGCTGGGGCTCACTAGAGAAATTGATCCCTGTCCATGGTGCCCGCGTCAAAGGTGAGGTGTTGTGGCTCTGGCCAGGATAGGGAGTACAAGATTCTTGGAAAATTAACAATTTATAACACTTGCAAATATGTTTGCAGGCTTGAGAGAAACAAGCATCAGGGATATAATATTGTGGTTTGTGGTTTCCCGTCCAACTATACAACTTGAATTCAACAAGCATCTCAAACAACACAGCTTTGGCCGGGCTTACTGTGCAATGGAAGATTCGGATGATGAGCTCATAGAACTCTTGAGCTGTCACCGGCCAGTTTCTTGCCCTATTAAATTTGCATGTTTGAGTGGCAGTAATGGCCAGAGTGTAG